TTAATAAAAAAAAAAAAAAAAAAAAAAGGTGTTCTTTCTTAATTAATTACTATATTCTATAGTAATTTATTATACTAGAAAAAGATATATAAACTCTACCTCTTTTCTCAAGGCAAAAGGACAGTTGGTCCTTGTCTTTTAGTAGTTTTTGACAGCTGGTCTGCAAATTCTGGTCTTTATAACACTATAATTATACACTTTATATTGAAAACAAACCTTTTATTATATCTTTGTTTTTAATTTTATATTAGGAATAAGTTCTATTTTTGGTATTTTTATATAATCTTTGTTGGGAATAAGTCTCTTTTTTGTGATATTTTTTGGAATCTATTGTATTTTTTTTAAGTTAATATATTTTTTTTATCTGTATTATTCTTTTGAGTATTTTATTGAGTTATATTTTTGCTTTATATAAGCTATTTATTAAGTATTATTTGAGTATTTTTTTTGAGGTATATATTTGTTTTATCTGTATTATTCTTTTGAGTATTATCTGAGTTAATAACTCTATCTTTTGTCTATAAACTTGTTGATTATAATCTTTTTTTATAAGTGTTGGTTGCTATAGCAATAAGTCAACAATATTTTATTTTATATATTAACTGTTTTCCTCTATAAATTATATAAACACATTTTTTAATTACTCGTATACTTAGTCAAGTAAAATAACTTGTTAACTAAAGGTCTAATTTGTTACATTATACTATATTTATATATATATATTTTTTTAACTTTCGCAATATCATAAAAAGGTGAATTTTTATTAGGTATTTTAGTAGTACATTCTTGGTTAATGAGGGTATATTTAGCTATATATACAACTTTTGGTTGTCTATTTAAGTAGTCCATCCAAAGGTTTTACACTATATACTATACCTGTAATCTAACTAGAAGATTATTCATTTAAACTCTCTGATGTTTCTTATCCTATACCACTACCACAATTATATCAGCTCATAACCTTGTGCTGCTTCAATTAAAGACTACTCAGATCGATATATACTATACTACTTGTGCTCTAATTCTATAGATAATCTAGTAAGATTCTCATATTACTGGGTTGCTCTAGAAAAAGTGTAGTATATATTCTCCTAATCTTTCTATATTCTACATATTTTCAGATTAGACTTCAAATACTTTTCACAGTAGTCAAAACTATTACTAGTAGTCAAAACTAACTATTAAACTATACAATTCTAGTATTCAATATTCTTATAAGATTTATTTTAATTCTGATACCTGCATTAACCAGTTCTTATATCAATCTCTTCCAAACTACCAAATCAATTAGCTTAGATAAGTCATTATATCTAGGCTTTAAGTTTCTTTTAGTTTACTTTTTTTGATTTTTTTTTTTTTTTTTTTACCTTCACAATATTGCAAAAGAACAAATTTTTATTAAGTATATTAGTAGTATATTCTTGGTTAACAAAAGTACATTTTAGCCATATCTGTGTCTTTTGAGTGCCTAATTAAGTAGCTACCTATTACTAGAGTCTACACTAGATGCCATACCTATAACCTACTATTACTTGAACTATCTAATTAAACTCTTTGATGTTCTCCACCCTGCACCATCACCTTAATTATGCCAACCTATAACTTTGTGCTGTTTCATTGAAGACTACCCAAATCGATATATACTACACTACTTGTGCCCTAATTCTATAGATAATCCAGTAGAGTTCTTATATTTATCAGGTTACTCTAGGGAGGATGAGTATATACCTCTCTAATCTTTTTATGTCCTACACATTTCCAGACTAGGCCTTTTTGGTAACTTATGCTGAGTCTAAGGACAAGTACTTGTGAGCTGAGGCCACTACAGTTACCTACTACTACCCTTGTAGAGTTCACTCAAATCTCAGTACCTACTTTACGGACTCCTTCCCATACCTCTGAAAACCCAAACTCCCAATCTGATAGCCTGAAAGGGCAGAACCTTTCCTTTGGTTATCTGACGATTTGGTTGGTATAGTGCCTTGCTAAACACCTTGATCCTGTCTGGTTTTTCTGATATCTAGTTGATCATCCTTTACATAGTAACCGTTAAAGATCTGTGCTACCTCTCCACTTGGGTCTTGCCAAGCAGGCATCTATATCCTGTAAATTTATTGAATTTATCCAATAACTTCACTCAAGTTTCATGTAATTCATATATCACACTACATATTTCACTACCTCCCAGTAAAAGCTGGTATGACCACCATTACAGGTTCTATAACCCAATAGGATACAGTCTTTCAAATCTATTTTCTATAAATTTGAATTTTCGTCACTAGTGAGATTCGAACTCTAGTCCTGCTGTTTGAGATGCAACAACTTGTCAACTTCACTAAGTCGCTACACCTACTTCCTTGATTTTTAATTCTATAGTATAAGATCTTTTTCTCTGGTACAACTCTGACAACTAGGTTGGTCAACTCTTCTTGCCTTAAAGTTTTTGTTCAGTTCTTTGGTCTTCAGTTTCCAGCTTTTCATAATATCATCAAAGACTTTACTACTTCCTTGCTCAAATCTTATCAAACAGATTTCAATTATTCTGGTTCCTTGGATTTGGATTGCTTAAGAGCTTCTATTTCGAGATAGTAATATCAAGATTACAGATGATATACCCAAATGTTCATCAAATAATTTACCAGTACACAGGCCTATTTTTTTAAAAACATCTCTGGTAAAATTTGAACTCTAGACCTGCTACTTAGAGAGTGACAACTTAATCATTACTCTAAGTTACTATACTATTTATATTTATATTTTAAATCAAAACTAATTTTAATTTTATTTTAAATTAATTTATATAAAATATTTTTTTTAAAAAATTATTAATTTTACCTTATATTTTTATTAGTTAATTAATATATATTGTGGTTTTCCTATGATAAGCCACTTCTTAAAATTAGTTAATTCTTTTGTTTTTTAAAAATTTTAAAAAAATTACAAACTATTTCTATATATAAAAGTCAAAATTTTGCTAAGTAAACCAACTTTGGCATTCAAAGTAAAGTTGTTTAGAAAATTAAAATGCATATATTATAAATATTAATCAAGGTATTTTAATTTAGATATATATATAAAGTTACTTACAAAATTTTACAATTTTGATTAACTAAACTAATATGTATAATTAAGGTTATTATTTTTATCTAAATAATTTTTTCTATAACATTAATCCTATTTTTTATTTAGTAAAAGATCCAAGAAAATATGTTTTAACAATATATATACATGAAATTTTATGCTAAACAAGTTTATTTAAGAAGTCAAATAAGTTATTTTAATAAAAATAAAGTTTATATAAATAATAAAAAAAATTAATTGTCGCGGCTGATGCTGAAATTGGCTGATGCTGAAATTTGGGGTCCCAATTTTAAAACATAGGCCCTGCTAGAATCCACATATACTCTTTAATTATAAATACTAACACTAAATCCTAACCTAACTATAAAAAAAAAGTGGTAAAAAAACACCCCAAAATTTTTTTAAATTTTCATATCAAAATAGGTCCAAATTTCAGCATCAGCCAATTTCAGCATCAGCCGCGACATTAATTTTAGCACATAGTTAACTCATTTTTTCGCTAAAGTAACCTACTTTCGCCTTCTAAGTAAAGTCGTTAAGAGCATAATTTTATATATGATAATTACTTTAAAATTGAAATAGTTATTTTTAACAAAGTTACATTTTCAAATTATGCAAAAATAACAAAATTTTAATTTAGTTTTTAAGCTAAATTTCTTCTTTTGTTCTATATAATCGCAAAATTTAATTTGAAGTTACTTAATTAAGTTGAAAAAGAACTTTGGCTCAAAGTTCATGGTAAATTCATATGTTTTTATTATAATTTTTATTATTGACAACACTTTAGGGAAGATGTTCTATGCTGTTATAGATACATCACAATCGTAATTTCAGTCATCAAAGCGCGTAGAAGTATGAGTCCTCCGCTTCGCTCCGGACAAAAAGCTGTTTTATTACAAATACGGATTGATATATTTAGTGCTTAATTTATGTTATAACATAGTACCAATTCAGACCTGACTTATATCAAATCACAAATCAAAAAAAGTTAGTTGGTGTAATACTAAATAGCCATTGGAAGTGATAGATATTGAGAAAAATTGGAATTGGCCATTCATCACCTGATAATATTACGATAATTTATGACCTGATAATGAATTCGATACGTACAGTACTGTACGTATGTATATACAGAGAATCTGACGATGGTTTAAAACCGGTTGATGAATTAAAAAATTCAAAAATTCAACCTGTATTGAGCATTGTCTAAGTTGGACAAGATTATAATAACGATAGATTGCAATTTGCAAGGCCCTTGCTTAACTATTATCACATATCAATATTATACTATATATGTCTAAAATTCGAAACGTGACAAAGCTTTGGGAATAAACAAGGGCAATTGCTTTGACCAACGTCATATCTAACTCTTTAAGGTAGTCATATACACTAATTTATTTTGAATGGTAATACAAACATTAGTTAGAAGTAATTATGTGCGCATACGTATGTTGTGCAAATCTAAAGAAACTTTTTTTGCAATGACTTAAAGATGTGGTTTGTTATTTGTGGGGGGCCGGCATATTGTATGCGTGTGGGGAGATTTCTACACAAATCAAATAGTTATATAATGAGAAAAAAAATTTTTTAAGGAATTCATATTACATCACTGATTTTCAAATGTACTCAATGTCAATTACCCCACAATAATTTTTTTTTTTTTATAAATACACAAAGTGAGTACAATAAACATATATATAGTTGTGATTTAATTCCAGACTGATTTTTATTTATATAAAAATATTGTTTTTTTTTTTTCTTTTTTTTCCTTTTGGAAATCGTCACCAGCTTTCTAAGAGTGAGTACTACTTTTAAAACTTGTTAGGCGTCGTTTGTTACAATCAAAAATCATTGTCTTAACCAACAATATTTTTAATCAATAGCACATAAAGATTGTGTTATGCTCAATAAGACTTAACATGAATAACAACAATTCATCACAATCTTCTGCAAACGTTTACACAACTCCAGACCGTAAAATATGTCCAAGCGCTCTAAGTCATTTAATCACAACCTCTAACGACATACTCCATTCTTCTAATGCTATGGATGTTCACCTTGTTTCTCTGTCTTCTCCAAATATGAGTCCAAATGCTAGTCCATGTCCAAGTCCTATGCTACGTCCTGTCTCAAGTCCTTTGACACCTATAACTCCTCTCGTATTAACTGACAGTCAATATGAAAAAGAATTTTTAAACACTTCTCACAATAATCATGAATATCTTTATCACATTCAACAAGTTCAAAGATTACACAATCAATATGGCTATCACGACAAGTATGGATACGGTCATCAACCATCCGCGTCATTTGTTCAAAATAGTCCTTCGCCATTGTCTTCCGGTGCATCGACTCCAACATGTTCAAAGGTTTATGATATCATTATGCCGTATTCATTTAATTCTCCTAATTCTGACTTCTCTCATTTAATGCCTCTGAGCACTTGTGATTGCGGTTCAATGCCCTTTTCGTCTCAGTTGAATCTTACTCCAACCACTGAAATGTTTAAAGATTTGACTATTAATAATGAAAATTATAATCAGAATCATGATGAATACTTTAAGAATTTTTATTATTATAATCACAACGTTGAATACCAAAAGGCTTGTTTTGGCAACGGAGAGATCAATTCTATTGGCAATGATATGCAAGTAAGATCTTCGTCAGTACCTAATAAGATAATTACGTCTAATAACGGTACATTTTCACAACCGAAAGACACTCAGTTTCATGAGATTATTACGAAATTTAATAATTTGGATATTTTGGATTCTCATTAATGGCTAGTTATTTTATATTCTACTTTTATATTTGTATATTGATCTTTATTAAACTGTTAGGTTTACTGGTGATGATGGTCTGGCAATTTCTATTTTATTTTGTATAAATGCGTAGGAGAACGATCTCATACTACTTTTATCACTTTGTGTCTATACATTAAACCATGAATTGATTTTGTACATATTCATTTTTACTTTTTCATCTCGTTATCCATAGACAATACTTGTACATCTATCACTAAAATACGTTGATTGTTAGATAAATATATACATAATTTTACTTGAACAAAGTGCCGAAAATTATATGGCTATATTGATTTCAATTACATCTAAATGAAGATAGTACTAAACCTTTTTCTGATTAGTATATAACCTTGAGTGGTTCGACTGGATTAAATACGATACAAAAGGTACAAAATGGAAAAGTTGGTTTTAATCTTCAGTATTAAAACATTACAGCATTAACGACGATATCACATAACGAAGTAGGGATGTTGAAATGTTCGATTGGTTTTTTTAATGTGAATTTGAGTAATGCTTCCTTAAATCGATTCAAAGGTTGGCTCTAGCGGTTACTTGAGAGTTTAACTAGTATCGATATAGAAAGAGCGGCTTTCATTCATTCTAAATCAAGAAATCTTATATGCACTCATCACACATTGCATTAAAAAAAAAAATGCGCTTAACTTCTTAAACAACCCATTTTTTTATCATATGACTGAGTACTTCAATAAAAAGCAATACCCCGTACGTAGTAATTTTTGTATATATATTAAAAATATTAAAAATACGTAGTAACTCTGACCCAACATATACAATACCTCATAAATGCAATTTTTCTTATTGTTCTCTAAATGCAAGTTGTCAAAGTTTTGTCCCCATGAGTTGCATTTAGGGGGTTTGACTGTGCGTACTTTAGTTATTGTCATATTCAAACAAATAAGAAACTTTATATATCGATATTGAAAGGGAAATTGTGAATTTAGATACGTATTCATTTAAATGTGATTATCACGAAATTCACGCTGATTGGTTAATTTAAAAATTATCATACTTTTTTTTTTATAACATAACGTAGTTGTATATTTCACATTTATGCTTAACAACCCTTTAGTTTCCTTGATTAAAAATTATTTTTTACTGATCAAAAATTTTTACTACAATCATCCCTCCATATAGTCCAGTGTTGTGAGGGGTACTATGTCCAATTGTTTTCAAATAAATTGACATATGTCCAATTGGTTTTGGACATATGTCCAATTAATTTGAAAACAATTGGACATAGTAACCCTCACAACACGGATATAGTCACCTCCCATATAATCACACCATATGCAATCACATTTATGTTTAGGCTAAACTATGATTTAATTTATAAGAAAAAGACCTCTATATAAGCACAACCCTATATAAGCACATTTTGAAAAAAAGTTACTATGTG